TTTAGGGCTAATTTTCTAAGCCTCAGATTTAATCTTAGCGTTTTTAAGGAAATTATAATGACCGATGAAATCTCAAGACCATAAAGTCCTTTCCTGCTCGATGTATAGGACACTGTGTTACAGCGACACCTAGTGGTTCCTTTGACTCAGGGTCCCAAAGAAGTCGTTTTAAAAACTGCTTTCTCCTAAGAAATCCGAAATAAGAAGTCAATGTTTAGGATAGTGTTTGCTCTCGGCTCTTTCATGCTTATTTAATATTTAAATTTCCATTTGATGCAATATTTATCCAAAACACTGGTTTCTATTAATCTGCTGATTCTCTCACAGGATTAAAGAGAACTGACTTCATCATCATACCCAAAGAAAAGTGTGGCTATTATACAAGAACATTGTTATTATACAACCAACATGATTCAAAACAGAGTTACCTGTAGGGAAATGCTAAATGTCAATATTTAATAACGCATGCCACTACTACATAAGAATTGAACAAGATACATTTCAATCAACAAGAATCCTGGAATGAATTTGAGTCGTTGTTTAGAGAATTTTGAAAAACAGTTGCCATTGTTTTCTGTTCCCAAAATGGGACTCAGAAGCAAGTCTCAAGCGCCTGGGACATTGTTCCTCCCAATCATTGGTTTTACATTCTTTTTTGCCAGGAACTATTATTGAAATCCTTTCACTTCTCCCAGTAAGACAATCATAAGTGGGGAAATTCTGCACTAATCATTTACAGTGTCTGCAGAGGTCTGCAAGATCGCAATCTTCAAATTGATTGAAGAAATGTTGACATTTATACCGTTCCCCAGTCCTGTTATAATCATTGTCACCAGTATGAATTTGTGAGGATCTTATTTTATGTGCTTGTCAAAATCCCTGTCGCAAAAAAAATGAGACTGAGAAAGTTTAATGCTTTATGTGCTTGCGGAGAGACGGTAATAACCCGGTTACCCCGACCTCCTCCATGTTTCAAAACGCAGTGTCTGGTTACTTCTTGCTCTGCTTTTGCAAGCTCAGCAGCCTAAGGCGGCCAGATCATCAGCCAATCACAGTGCAGAGAACAGAATGCTGGGCACCCTTCCCTGCTGCAGACCAGTTTTCCATCTTGATCTCCCCACAGGCAGGGGTGCTCAGCACACACTTAAAGCTTTCCCACTGATGTTTAAAACACAATGGGAAGCAAAAAATCAAGGCACCTTTTTTAAAAGACATTAAAACTTTTTAATATCTGACGTTAAATTCAGAAAGCTGTCCCGCTCTGCACGAGTCAGTCAGCTGCTTTTCTAAAAATGGGCAAATGACCAGAATAGACCTTTCTTAGAAGAGAGCACAGAAAATGTTTAACGTCACTAAGAATTAGAGAACTCAAATCAAAACTACAATGAAATGCTATCTCACCCCATTCACAACAGCTATTACCAAAATTAGCCCATTCATGCGAGGCAAGGGGAATTCTCGTACAGCCCAGACAATGGAGGGCAACATGGAGGCTCCTCAAGAAACTAAATAGAGCTAACATGCCCAGCCATCCCAACAATATGTGTACAGTCAAAGTAAGTGAGGTCAGCGTGAGGAGACGCCTGCAATCTTCCGTCACTGTTCTCGATAGCCAAGATCTGCTTACGTTAACAACTGAAAAGACAAGAAAAGTACCATATGCATTCATATAAAAAAATGTTATACAGTGATAAAAATGATGGAAATATTTTCCATCTCCTATGACACAGAAGGAGTTGTGTTAAATGAAATGGCTCTGGCTTCATACTTATCTCTACTTCATATTTAGTGGCATCCTTTAAATGACATCATAGCTCAGTCCAAGCTACAAAAAGAAAAATCTGTTTAAGAGTCAATTAAAAAATTATCTAAGGAGGCACACCAAAAATTCAATTTTCCTAAATTCTTTTGTTAAATCAAATAAATCACAAGTTAGGATAAATCATATTTATGCTACATATTCATAAAAATAAAGGTGTGTGTGTGTGTGAGAGAGAGAGAGAGAGAGAGAGAGAGAGAGAGAGAGAGAGAGAGGACTGAGGACCAAACCCAGCCAGGACCTCAGGCATATTATGCAAGTGTCCTACCATTGATCTACATCCCGGTTCTAAGCTGGGTTTTATAGTTATTACATTACTGAAATTGTTTTCCTTTCAGTGGCTTCTCTCTCTTCAATTCTTTACCTAACATAGATCTGCTGTTATACCCATTTTCTTCACTGTGAGATCACATCCTCAAACACATGCAAAAAGCAGCGAGAAAACTTGATGTAGAGAGGGGCTACAAACACTCGAATCCGCCCCGCAGGAAAGTACCTACTCCAGCAGGGCTGCAGCACCCACCCAAACAGCACGATCAACTGGAGACCAAGTGATCAACTCTCTGCGTTTCTGAGGGGCATTCCTCATTAAGCCATGACTCTCACATGTCCGGATGCATTTGGTGTGACTAGAATATAAATGCATTTTGATTGTAATATAAATTTGAGTGGTATGGGCTTTCCTCCTACATGGCATGCCCGAAAAGAGTGATGTCACCGTCACATTTTATTTTATGCATGGCTCCGTGTAAAATACATTTTAAAATAAAGTACATACACACCTACAATGTCAGTTTCCATTTCTACACACCCCACTGTAAATCAGTTTCAATACTTAGCTGCACTGCGTGATGGTACAGTAAAATGGCTCTTTGTGCTCCATAGTCGTATGTAAATGTTGAGAGAAAGATGCCTGCTTCAAGCCCCAGGTGAGTTTATCTTCCTGCATCCAGAGAAGCCCTAGTAAGAGAGCCGACAGAAACACCAAATGGTCCTAAAAAGCATCTATTGAATTCCTACTCTCCAGGCGATGCTTTCTAAAATGTAGAATTTCATCAGTTCTGAATTGAAAAGATTGATCTGCTTGTCATGTTGAATAGACTCTAAAAGTAGTTTAAGCAACAATTGACCCTGAGCACAGTACTTGCAGGTTCTTCTGGGCATGGGGCTAAAGGCAGCCTCAGATTTCTGAGATAACTGAAATGGTCTCTGTTGTGAAAAACGGCGAAGCAGCTTACAACAGACAAACGCTCAAGAGGATTTTCATAATTATAGCTAAGAGAAATGAGATTTACTGCAAGTGGCATTTATAGCAGTAGGGCCATGTCTTTCTTCACAATTCCTTATGATTAAAAAAAATCAATTTCACCTACTTTTCCTAATTCCATTTTCTCTCTCTCTGAAAATTAGCCACTAAATTTAAGCTGTATTACAAAGGGCAACCACAACACTTTATTGTCATTAATCTATTTCTTTTATTGACTTAAAATTTCTGCCGGCTATTTCCAAGCACACTCACCAAGAAGATGTGGGTATGTGCTTGAGTCCACATGCTTGGCCACTGGTGAAGCATATGGGTGGAGACCCAGAACAACTGGCTAGGCAGCAGTGAGCAGGTCAACCTCCATGTGAGCAACTGAAGTCCCACATTGAATATCAAGAGCCCCTTCGTGATCTGCCAGAGCTGCACTAAGACTTTAACCAAATACAGCTGCATTCCCTTGTGTTCCTAGCATGATATTGCCTTTGGTGACTCATCTAGGAAAGCAGCTGCTAGACTCATGAACTCTGTACTTTCCTTGCTTCCTCCTTCAGCTTCCTTGCAGCCTGGTCTGGGTGTCTGATTTAACTCCATGAGCCAGGGCTGCAGCTCCTGCAGGACACTCCTCTCAATTAGGTCAGAGGCAATGGCAATAAAACCCACAGCATCCAACCTTATAACTTCAGCTCATGCTGTAGGTTCCAAAGTGCTCATGGTCTCCCCTTTCTAGCTTCTGTTCCATGAGTGCTGTGCTTTCAATCACACAGAGACAACAGTTGGCAACGATACAAAAACAATAAAATGCATTCTTTATGCATGTACACACATGTGTTGCATATACATTATTGTTGTGATTAAACCCTGACTTGATGAATAATGTGGTCCAGGGTTTTGGAAAAACATTTGAAAGCCCTTACCTGAAGATAAAGATTTGTTACTCAGTATTTTAGTGGTGTTTAACTCTTGGAATAATTTCATGTTCAAGATAAACGGAGGTACCCTCAGAACTTCCAGTCTAGTTCTTACTGCACTACGGGAAATCCCAGGAGGTGTTAGAGATGAGACCCAAAAAGCACAGTAGCAGAGTTTGAAATGTGTGATTTTTTTAAAAAAAAGAACAAGAGACTTTGGAGCATATCCAAGCATAAAATTACCTTTATGAGAATGGTGGTGATCAGGAGTGAATGGTATATCTACCTTTCGTGGCAGTAGAGATTTTTAAGAAGAGACTATGGCAGTTGACTCTTTTCTTTTGAACTTTTCATGCTCATGCATAGATATTGCCATAAAATGTAGAGCAAGAGACAGGCATTTCCCCTAATAGAAACCTCTAGAAAACGTGCACAGTGATTTAGTCACATGACTGTGGGTCTGAATGCTATCGTTATTTCTTCAAACGCAGCAGATGGGTTCATTTTTATGAGAATCGGTTAGGAATTGACATGATCCCTCCCGAATGATGACTACTGCTTTCGTCCCAAAGACAGTACTGTCTCAGCTGCAACTGTGGCTCTCCACCCCTCTCTTTAGAGCAAGAGTTTGAGCTGACAGTGCTACTGGCTGTGTGCTTTGTACTCTCAGTGGCTATTAGTCTGCAACTGTCTCGGCACTTATTTTCAAAGATTAAACTTGTTAACTTTAAGTTTACATAAGCTAGACAGGAAAGCAGTTTTACTCAAAATAGCATCACCCACATAAATTCTGTACAAAAAGTACCTTAACATTCTGATTAAGGCATGCCATAAACTAAAACGAGTCACGGTATATTTCAGAGAAAAATAATGCCCTCCACACCACACTGAATTTTCCCTTTTATGTTTGGGAAACATCTTTTTTAAAAATAGCTAAAACTCACCTTGGGCTGAGTCCAGTTCCCAGGCAGACGTCTAGCTGTCTCGACATCTCTTTATTCCATCACTCAACTCACTCAACTGCTCTGCCCATGCCATGCATAATGTTCTCATTGGCCTAATAAAATAGAAGGAATTGGTGTTTACTTTTTATCCTAATGACTCAACAATCAATCAAGATTGACTTTTTTGCCAATTTTCCTATAATTTCAGAGCAGCAGGGTCACGCTGAAGCTAGATTTGCCTTTTTATTCCATCTTCATCATTATTCAGTTTTATTGTAAAGAGAGTTTTCTGACATTTCTGTACCTCTTTATACTACACTTAAAAATGGAGTTTCTCCAAATTCAAACAAGAGTTTCCATTGTTCGGTCTTACACGACTCGGTTTCAGGCTCTACATTATTAAACTGCATTTTTCTAACAGAATTTGTGCCACCAAAGTTCCACTTGTTCTTTTTAAGAAAACGAAATTAGTCTTCAATGTCAGACAACAACAAAAGTAAAAATGAAAAACTTATAAAAAAGGAAAAGTACTGATATTGTTTAAGATAAAAAGGCAATTTGAGTCATTATCTAGTCATTTGCAGGGAGAGCACTGGTATCCAAATATCATAAGGCAGGGAAATAAAGAAAGCATTAGTTTTCCATATTCTAAAGTTTCTTACCACCTACTTCATTTTTTTAATGATAGGAAGTAATCTGATCCTTTAAAAGTCTAAGTTAAAATCCAACTTTCCTCTGTGTTTAGTGACAATTTCATCTTAGATAGAAAAATGTGGCTCTCCTGTGATTTTATGAAACAATAAAATATTCTGGTTTTAAAAGATCTGTTCTGTGAAGACTAGGAATGCCATCTCTTGCTTCCTAGCCGTGTTTACATTCAACCTACAACTAATGCCAGCCAGGAGATGGACGAATCTTACCAAACTTGCTTCCCATGAGTCCTATGAATGTTCCCCCTCTACAATTCAACAGGTGGCCCTTTCAATGATCATCAGTGTCTTGGAGTCATTGTGGAACTTTTATTAAGATATTAAATCCACTTAATTTAAATAGCACATTTACTCTTGGAAAAATTCCAACTCTAAGAAATAAAATCAAAGAATACCATGATGTAATACCCTGCCTGTGAAGCAATTTGGAGCATGCAATAAAGGAGTAGACTCTCTTTTCCTTCAATAGGTCCATGCTCTGGTCAAGGCAATAGAACATCTACGTCTTTCAAGTTTATCTGGTAGTAATCAGAAACCAAGCAGACTTTTACTTCTATATTTGTTGGCACAGAAAGATAATTACCATCAAAGAATTGAATAGTGATACAGAAAACCAGTAGTGAAGAAATTCAAAGTCTAGAGACAACAAATTGGTTTTGGGTAATTAAGCAAGGTTAATTAGCAATGAAGCTTGAACTAAATCTATAAATATGAGAAATCTGAGATAACTTGAGACAGATAAATAGTTTCCTGGGAAGATAAAAAGATGAAAAGTGGCCTGGGAATGGGGACCTCCAAAGTTTCAGTGATGTAAAATCATCAGCTGTGTTTCTGTTTATGCAGCATGCATACTCATGCTTGGTATATTTCCTCAGTGTGGTCATTCCATCCCATCAGAAAGTTTCTCTTTTCCTTGAGCCTCATACTCTATTCATCTACCCAACAGAAGAGAGAAGAGTCTAACAAAGATGCACTCAGTTTTAGAGCATCTTGGCAGATATACCACTGCTCACACTGATTCGGCACTGGTAAGTCTGGGTTCTGAAATCGAACCATGATTTGTATGGTCTTCTCTCTATCTCTGCCATGCCCAAAAAGAACAGAAACTTGAGTCATCATATATAGAGTTATCCTGGGTAAAGAAGATCCTTAAAGGTGCTACTGGCTATATTAAAAGGATGTGGGAAGGTTCTAATAATAGAATAAAGCAACCAAATAGGCACTGTAAAATGAGAATGTACGGTGGTGTCCAGCAGGATCTGGGGTAGAAGACATACTTTTCAGACAAGAGATCTGGCAGAGGGAATGCAAAACCCAGGTTGAGTTAGAATCTTAAGTACACAATGAAGTTAGTACAGAAAGAATGGAAAATCCTGGCTGAGCTAGAATCCTATCAATTAAGTTAGTACAAAAGTGGAATGGAAGTAAGGGTGGGAAGCAGACAGATGAAGAAGATATTGAACACTGAAGCTTGGGTAATAATATTTGTAAGGATAATTAGGAAACCTTTTGGGGAGAAGGTGAAGTCGGGATCATATTGAAATGACCCATGCGGCACCTACATGTTACTGTATAGCTGATGATCTCATTAGACAAGAGGAGGAGGATGAAGGGTCAGAAAAAGAGGGTTCCTCTTCTGGTTCTAACCACTGTGTAATTTCCCCTGACCTACTAGAGTGTCTACAATGAACTACTATGTGACATGGCAAATCTATTGTTTTGCCCATCAACACAATCAATACCAATTGCCACAGCCAAATCGATCTGGCTGCAACTCAAATGAATTCTTCAAAGGCTGAGAGGAATGGCTAGGCCACGCAATAGGCCAGTTATTTCACATCCTCAACATGCCCTATTCTGCCTCAAGAGTTACTGTATCAGGGAAGAAGAAACCAAGGTTACCACCTCATTCATTTTAACAGTCCTGAATACCAGATTTATGGTCTGAGTCTCCACAAGTGCTTAAGTAGTTTTGATGTGAAAATTTAGAAGCAAATTATTTAAGTACTTCTGATATCAAACAAATATTTGAGTATCCCATTCATAGTATTTATTGAAGATTGTAATCTGGAAAACAATGAGACAGGAAGAGAAGAATGACAATACAGTCACTCTGCACACTTCTCAAACCCCGTCCTAGCCCTTTTAGAGAGAAGAGAGCAATGCACTGGGCATGTCCTGTAACTGTGCCTTTGCATCTCAGACTGGCTTTAGCATGATCATTACAATAACTATCTTAAGTTAGCTTAATAGTTTTCCCAAAGCAACACATCAAGGACTTGAGAGTTAGCAGTGAGATCCTTAGTAGGACCCAAAGCCAAGATTGTTTGATATAGTACAGGTCTCACTGTAAATATGATCAGGTCCACAGAAACAACCATATGAAGAGCCAATTCCTGCTGCCAGATGACAAAACTTTATATTATAAACAGTGTTCTGTGCCATTTATTTCTGACATTCAGAGCAAGTTCAAGACCAACAACAAATATCTCCCCTTGATATGTCATTGTACTTATGTGGAATTAAATGATTATTTTGAATCCTGTTGTAAAGGGGAAGAAAGCAAACTCCACGTTCATCAGTTCTGTCTGTGAAGCTTACCTGAATTTCCCACATGTCAGGAAGTGTGCTATTGGCAAAGCAGAGCCAAATGTAGAAATCAAGTCTTCTTAGGAGGAGGGATTCGGGCAGCCTGTAGTCCATAGAACATAGCTCCGTGAACCTGTGTGGACAAGCTAGACTCAGAAAGTGCAGCAGACCTCAGCAAGGTGACATCTCACACGTCTGAACAGCATTCTGTAGGCAGCCATGCTTGCCCCTGCTTCACCTGTGATGTGGCTTCAAATCTCAATTGCTTAAGGCAAGTAAGCCCTAGCTAGTCAGTTTGGACTTTGATTGCTCATCCAAATTGGGATAAGCAAAGGGGTTCAGACCCAAAATAAATATATAGAATCGTTAAAGGAATGTGAAGGGTGAGACTGTACTCAGAGCCAATAGACAAAAACAAAAACAAACAAAAAAAGCACAGTGTGTGTTTTTGTTGATTTGTTTTGTTTGTTTTTTAGTCCGGAATCACAGCAAAGCAGGGGAGATATTAAAAGCTCACCACAGAGCAAAATACCATTTTACCCTGCAAGCTGAAATATCCTCAGCCTGTGAAGGATCAAACAAAATAAGAATAATATTGTTATTGCAAGGGCATCATAGAGAGATACTCCATTTGGAATCACCCGAAACAAATGGAATGAGCTTAATCGGTTTCTCCCGCAGCCTGCTCTATGTTCACTCCTCAGCACACACTCCAGGTCAAGTAGTGGATCATTTCTTTCCTCAAACTGCCTAGAACGTGGAGCCATTCTTTGTATTACATTTCCTCGACACCATAAAATAAACCGTACTATGGAGTGTTTTAATTTGCTATCGTCTTTGGGAAATCATGCTAATAAGACATTTAGTCAAAAGAGTAGTCTCCCAGTAAGTAGTAATAATCTTTTATGAGGGCTGCTGTGAGCTCCATGAGCAAATATGTTGACCTTGAAGTTCCTGGCTCCCCGTGCGAGCAAGAACAATGACACAAATATTCATTTAGATGAATGCTGACCATGCTTGGCCTTATCATTTCCAGCTCCCCACATTTCAATTTTCCTAGTTATGCTCAGAAACTATGGCTTGTGATGGAAAGCAAGAGAAGGATACTGTTGCCATGGCAGCAAAAACATTTTTCTCCCTCAAAAATAGTATGTCAGAGATCAGTAGGGGAAAAAAATGCTAACTGCACTTGCAGAGAAAATTAAATTTAAATACAAATTCTTACTATTTTATCAAGGGTTATTTGTGTTTTTTTTCTAGGATTTTTTTCTGTTTTAATGTACAAAGATTTGTTACAACAGACTTGCTAGTTAAATTTTTTTTTCCTTGCTTTCAGCAGGTTACCCAACATGCAAAATCCAGCCTTTAAGAAATCACAAATGGAATGGTGAGGATTTACCAGTGATTTAAAATGATACTCAAAGTAGAATTTTTCAAAAGCCTCTGAGCTTCACAAATAATTTTGCAACACAATAAATATGCAACGACTACAATGACAAAAACAAAAATAGCCACTATCATCCTTTCAGATTCCTTTGCTTGTCATTCAACCAAGATATTAGCCTTTTCACGACTGGCTGAATGAGTCATGCTAATGTATCAACCTGGGCTGCTTATACTCTCTTCTGCATTCCATTTTGGTGATGTTGCTTTTGCAATTGCAGCAGTGGCTTCATGAAAAACAAAATGCCTAAATTTTTCAGCCCTCGGTGAGCTGTTAATGCTTTCTAATGAGAGAGTACAGCCCTATTGTTGCTGCCTTAATGCTGGGCATTGCCTTCCCGCCAAATTCAGCAGTGTGCTGATGGCTCATTGTTAGAATTACAGTAGGCTCTGCAGCTGCTGCCGCAGCCCCTGCCCGTGCTAGTCCCGTCCTCTGTGTTTTCTCTTTTATGCACTAAGATGAATATTAGTGTCAGGTACCCAGAGGAGCGAGTGATCTCTCTACTGCATAGTCGGTAGCAGGTTGATACCTCTTGTTTCTATTCCGTGACAGAAATGGAATTCAGAAATGTTCTCTTTTCTTTCCTTTGCACAAATGCCCTTGAGAAAGTCAGCACATGACATGTTCCAATATAATGATAACCCATAAATTGTTGCATGCAAATATATGTAAGGTGTTCTTAATTTCTTATCCATCCTGCTAAATTCAGTTTTCACTGAAGTTTATTTAGGAACAAATCTATTCCCAGTCTTTATCCTGAAGCCAGTTGATTCTGTGCAGCATGTCTCCCAAATAAACATCCTCTACTGAGCAAAGATTGAACAAACTGGTTACTGTATTACAGGGACCAATTATATTACCCTTTCCTGGGAGAAATAAAAAGCGCAGTCATTATGGCTCCTTTTGGCTGTGGGGCAGGCTTTCTGTCCGGTCAATGTTTTCCTTGGAACCAACACAGGGGCCTCAAAATCTTTTCCTTTGTGATTATAATCAAATAGGTTTCGAAATACAGAGAAACCAGAATGTTCTTTGGAAAATAGGCTTATTGGGTTTGTCCCAAAGCTCGACCCTACAGGGTTCAAGGAAATAAAAAGTCATATTTTGACTCTCTGAGGAATAGTCACAGTAAAAAGTATGCTTTCTCGAGCTCGAGTCAATGAGGTGAAGCGAAGGTAGTGGTTTGCTGTGGCAGGGAGCTTCCCAAGGTGACGCTATCAGAGTTTTCCTAAGACTGCACTATGGTCTCAAAAGATCACTCTATCTTTCCACAGTCATTTCCTGATTTTTCTTTACTATAATGATGTATAAAACTGTTGTGGGTAATTGTGCTTTGGAGTGTGATTCAAAGTTTGTGTTTCAGCCAGGGCCTAAAAGCAGCCTCGGCTCTGAGCCTAGCCAGGCCTGGCCTCTGCAGATGCCATCGATCAGCATGCCAAGAGTGGTGCCGAGTGAGCAACACTAGGCAGCACTGCCCTTGCTCTGTGGCCTCGCCCCACCGTTCCCCCCGGGGACATTTAATGTCTCAGATTCTTAAAGAATGCATTTGACTAAACTGGGTGCCAGTTGCTAAGAAACCTAAAATAGTAACAATTATTTCTGTTGGACTTCAAGGGGATGAAAATAAATGAACAAGAATGAAAAGTGCCCAGAAAATTAGTCATACAGAAAATAATTATACAATGTTCTCTGAAACCAAAGGACCATGTATTATCACAAGGAACAACTTGATGGATCTTGCCATCGCCACTGCTGTGCCTGCTTCTGTATTCAGCTATGAAAGTGACAAATCAATTTTATTTTGAAAATAATTACTTTCTAATTACCCAGAGTGTCACAAATTCATGTGGATTGCACCAGGTCTCGGCACTGAAAAGATTCAGATCTCCAGCCATGTACCATGTACCTCTCTTCCTCGAACCTTCCCAACCATCTCAGGCAGTGGGTTGTGGGGAATTTATAATGAAGATGGGACACAAGCTGACCCAGCTAGAAAACAGAAACTTAATGGATGATAATGTGGCTACCTATGATCCAGCTCTGAGAACTTCTAATTACTGTAACTCCCCAGGACATAACACATTCGACACATGAAGAAACCCTGGACAGTGAAGTAGCATTAAATTACTAATATCAAGCCAAGGAATTGCAGCCAATACCAAGTACACATTCACACAAAACCTCTGGGTACACACCCCTCAGATACTTCCAGATGTTGCTCCCCATACTGACCCCTATCTATTTCCTATTGTAACACACATTCTCATGTTGCTTTTCTTATGCTCAAGCTCAAGTAAGGTATCCCTGTACCTAGAATATCTCTCTCCCATCTTAACTTGATACACTCTTATGTATCAGGTTCAGCTCAAATATGGTATCTTGTCTATAACCCTTCAACCTTCCTGGTGACCACTGTATGATCAATTTAGGGTATTGTTTGTTATGTTTTTGTTTGGTTTAGTTTGGTTTTAAAACATGGTCTGGCTGTGTCGTCCAGGCTAGACTTAAGTGCCTATATCCCCACCTCAGCCTCCCACATAGTTAAAATTAGAGGTTTATAAATTCTTCTCTTACTCTTTCACTACAGATAACCCATTCTTACTTTTTCTTTTTCGTGAGATTCAAGGACCTTGTTTAATTCACCTGCTTACCCACCGTGACATCAACACTGTGCTTAGATCATGGCAGCTAAGATAGGTTGAAAGACCTCTCTAGAAATTCAGATGCTCTGAAACAGGAACTCGAGCATTGCCCTGCGAGTTTCCAAAGTTTTAAAGTGGAGATAGAAACATAATTCCTTTTTTGTCATTGATGCCAAATTTTAGAAACTCTAGTTAAGCACCAAAGATATGTCTTCCTTTTTAACTCAGTAGACATTGTGCAAGTATGCTGCTGCCACTGTTCATTTGTTTTTACACCAAGTCTTTTAAACATCCAAGACTTCCATGAATCATAATCCCTATTGCCATATTTTCATTGTGTAGAAGTGATGTACTTCACCTGTAGAGGTGTCTCGTAGCTTGGATCTTTAAAAGAGTATTCAGGCTAGCCTAGTGTCCTTCCCAGATGCCAGCCTTCATATAGAAAAGGATGTATAAATGCTTTAGTAAGATCTGGTGACTTTACTGTCAATCATAGAAAGTATGCCCAGCCCTTAACTTCAATCTCTATTCATCACTGTTTGCCAGTGATAGGCAGACTTTACATTGCTGTCACAAATTACCGAGGCAAAACAACTTAAGGGAAAAAGATTTATTTTGATTCACATTTTCAAAGATTTTAGAGCACCATAGTGGTGACTCAGTAAAGTAGGGCAGCTGACATCATGAAGGCCAGGACAGAGAGAGACAGAGATATACAAAGACACACAGAGAGAATCTGAGACAGAGAATAACAGCTAAAGGACTCTGATATCCTCATATTTCTTCTCAGCTCCAGCCTTGCTTGGTGACCACATTTAAGACGGGTGCTCCTCCTAAATAACTCTCTCTAGAAATGGTCTCCCCGCACTGCATGTTTTAGTCTTCTCAGTGTTTCTCAACCTGATCAACTTAACAATCAAAATTAACCATCACACTGCCTCATCCCAGATTTAAACTTTAGAATTTCCTTTGGTGCCTGGCTCTGAAGCTTTCGTGACTGCATCTGCCAAAACTCCCAAGTCCAGCTTCTAGAATGCTTCCATTAGTTCCACACCCATGTTTACTATGCTTCCAAAAGAAAATTCAGGAGAAGCCTAAAGGAGAGGTGACAATGTATTCACTCTATTTGCTTCCTAAATTTCAATTTAGTATTGCTTTGAGCATAGAGCTGGTGACTGACCATGACTAAAGTCATCAAATAGCCCCTGAATTATATTTTATGTATGACTGATTAAGAAAATTCATTTTTTTAATAAAAAGAAATAAGTGGACTCAGTTGGCCACGTTGGCACCAATTGTTGACAGAGATTTCTGTCCTGCCTGGTCCTATTCAGTACCAAAGACATAGAGAGCTACACTAATTATAAGATGGTTAGTCTATTAGCTCAGATATAAGATTAACTCTTATATCTTACATTAACTCATAATTTTTATCTTTATTAGTCATGTGTCTTGGTAAATTTTATCAGTAAGACATTCTCATCTTGTGTCCTCTGTGTCTGGGTGATGACTGCAGACTGAGCCTTTCCTCTTCTCAGAATTCTCCTATTCAGGTTGCCCCACCTGAATGGCTCCTGGTCAATCAGCATATTATTAAACAAGTGATAAATCTTTACAGGGTACAAGACCATTGTCCCACAGAAGTAAAGTTTACCAAAAGAGGGATAGATTTCTAGTTAACTACATCATATTAGTGAAGGTCATCTGTAGCATACTATTGTACATATTAATTACAAAGCATGTCTTCA